AAAWTTKRMCCYTWWTTTTTTTTCYGACAGGAAGCCAAAAAAAGGTATGACAAAGAGACGGAGAAATACTGCGCAGTCCTGGAGAAACACCTCAGCCTTTCAGCCAAAAAGAAAGAGTCCCATCTCCATGAGGTCTGACTGTCTTTCAGCTAGCTTACTTAAAAAAATAAAATAAAAACCTTGCTGATTTACTGACAAACATTTGCCAATGACTTTGTGTTTCAGGCGGACAGCCAGGTGGGCAGCGTGAGGCAGCATTTCTATGAAGTTTCTCTGGAGTATGTGTTCAAGGTGCAGGAAGTCCAAGAGAGGAAGATGTTTGACTTTGTGGAGCCTGTAAGACTTTTTTTTTTCTTTCTACATAATGTGAACACATTTTGAAAGAAAGATTTCTGGTAATTGTTAGTTAAAATGACTGATATATCAAAGTGCATCAGAATAATGAGATTATCAAAGAATTTTCTTTTTAATTWTTAATTTTTTTGGCTTGAGGGCACCTCAGCTGTGGATTTGGAGCAAATGAAAACAAGTCGTTGTATAAAAGCTAATTTTTATTTTTATAAAACTGGATCTACTTCAACCTATAACATTGTCTTTTACTTTGACTTAAAGTTTTCAATCCTTTCCTCCCTCCTAATGATTATTCTCCCTCTTCTTCCTCTTTATTGCTGCCCTCATTCTTTTTATTCCTTCACTGTTTTTGCTTTTTTTTTGTTTTCTTTCAGCTGTTGGCATTTCTTCAAGGCCTTTTCACCTACTATCACCATGGTTATGAGCTGGCAAAGGACTTTAACCACTTCAAGACTGATCTTACCATCAGCATACAGAATGTAAGGAACCAAAACACACTAATAGTCTGCTCCAGATTTGCTTTTTATCATTTAAAATCTTTCAAGAGCTTTTAAAGCCTTAAAGTTACTAGAATTAATATTTGTAGTTTAACTCACTGTTTTAGAAACTTTGACTAAAATCTATTTTAAGAAAAAAATCAAAGTAAAAGTCAACTTACAGGTGAAGAAAGTCAGTAAAAAGATTACTTTATTAAAGAAACCCCCTGCATAAAGTTAACTTTATTAATCTAATTCAAATGTGAGATAAAATTCAAGTAATGTGCAGAAGTCTTGAGCCACTTCACTCCCATTTWTGTTTTTATTTTTAAAAGTCTGGACAAACTTCATTGGAAATATTGTATCAATATTGCTTCACAGACCAGGAATCGCTTTGAGAGCACACGGTCTGAAGTGGAGAGTCTGATGAGGAAGATGAAGGAGAATCCACAGGAGCACAAGAGTGTGAGCCAGCACACCATGGAGGGGTACCTGTTTGTACTGGAGAAGCGTGAGTGTCTGCTCATTTCTCACAACTTAGAAACCATGAGTGTGAGAATGAGGTGTGTGATTGTACCTGTGTATGATTGGGTATTTGTCAGGCTGGGACTCGGGCTGCCCTCTCATCTGGTTCACCTGAGGGCCCACTGCTAGTGGTGGGCTTTGTCCCCCGGCCGCGCTGCCCTCTGGTGGGGTGTGCCTCTGCCCGCCGGTGCGCTGGTGGCTCTCAGTGTCTGGGGCTGGGTGCTTGAGCATGTGCCGGCTCGGCCTGGTGGCTGCCCGGTGGGGCTTGGGTCCTCTGGGTCTGTTGGGTCTTGGCCTGGGGGGTGCACCCTGTGGATCTGGGTCTCTGTGTCCATGCCTGGTACTGCTCCGGCGTGGGGGGGGGGCCGGCGGGGCCTGTGGGTTGTAGCTGTTGGCCCTGTGGGTTCTGTGTGTGGTTGCTGGTGGGGCTCTCCTGTGTTCCTCTCTGGGAGTGGGTGGGTGGTTCTTGCTGCGCAGGTGGAATTGGGGGCTTGGTGCTTGGGGTCTCTCTCAGGGTCTGTGGCTCTGGTCCCCCTTATGTCTGCCTTGGGTCTTGGGGGTCGGGTCTGTGGTCCTCCACAGTCACTATTTAATATTCCACTGGAGAAATATTGCATTTATATGAATGTTCACAACCGCACAAAAAATAGACATTTGGATCCTGAGGTTTCTGACAATCACTGAATGTATATGTGTGTGTGTGTGTGTGTGTGTGTGTGTGTGTGTGTGTG